TGGATGACCGCATCCATCTCTGTGTGCATGATTGCTACACAAACAATTATTCAAACATCATAGTGTTATTGCTGATATTGCCGAGTTTCCTCTTTCTCTGTACAAAAAGGAGGTGGTGGCAGTGTGAAGGGTTAATTGCCTAATTAACTTGACCCAGTAACAATCGCTCCCAGGCTGCAAGTACACAGATTGTGGTCCATTAGCTGGAAAATGTTTGCGCAGGGTGCAGATGGGCGTGGCATTGTTACGCACGTGATAGCGCGGTTTTAGATTGGCTAGTCCTTCGGTCACGAGTTTAGTGAGAAGGGCTGGGGTCTGACACCGCAATCATCACAGGTGGCTCTGCTGTGCACTGATCATCAGTGCCGATCCCTTCGCTGACAATGTGACAGTGTGAGGAAAGTGCAGCCGATAACCGGCAACTGTATTTACCAGGTGATCTGCTGTGTCACTGGACACAGCTGATCACGTGGTAAAAGGCTGCTGTGATTGGCCTTTTACCGTATCACATGATCAGATGTGTCCGTAGGCCACAGCGATCACCAGGGGTGCGCAGGGGGCGTGTTCTGGGAAGACGTCCTCCCAGAACTAGACAACCGTGCTGTAGTCGTCCTTTGGCTATAGTACGGTTGGGAAGTGGTTAAAGGACCACTAGGCACCGCCACCATAAAGGAGAAGTAATTTTTAATAACATTCAATTACCATATGACTTGTGTAGCAATGGTATATGCAATGTATTTTGTTTATTTGCTACTGCAAAAGTGGAGTTACCTTTTAACATATTTAAATAATTTTTAACATTGAAAGTAATGGAAATGGCTACAATTGGGTTTTGCATGTGCAATTTTGATCCTGCTTACGCTCTGTAGAAATGAATGATAGAACCTTTCATACACTGACTAAGTTTTGTGTGCCAGTGCAGGTGAAAATGCAGTGAAAACACCTAGATGGCTAGCACACCTTACACTTTAAGAGAATTGGTCACTTTGTCCATTCATAGCAAAGTGACAGGTTCTCTTGAAATCTCACCCTTCCCCCAGCCCACCACTACCTTTTGCTTGCTTCCATTCTGTTCATTCATTGCAGACCTTGGAAACACATGGTGCTTCTGGGTATGGGGGTGCATGTGATCTTTTCCCCTTCCTGCTAGGATGCAGTGCTTGGGTCTGAGAAGCCAGTCCCCAGGCCCAAACACTGTCACCAAGGTGAGGGGTGCAGGTCATCAGCCCTCCAATAAGTGCTAACACTGGCTGACAGGGCTTACACAAGTTTTTCAAGTCTAATAGCTCTAATAGCTGAGAGAGCACAATGAATTTGAGATTATCAGTGGGGTTGAGCTTTCAAGAGAACCTGTCACCTTCTGAATCTTTGTGCAGTATCAAATTTTCAGTAAATCTTTACCAAGTATCATAACTCAGTGAACCTGTCCAAGGAAAATACAGCTCTTCACACTAGATGTGTCCCCATTTCTCTCACTTTTCACCATCCTATATACACTTCCATGTGTTATTACAACACACTCTGTCACTTATTCAAGATGGCTAATCTGGCATACAGTGTTTTGATTGTAGATTGGTATAAATTAACATAGTGTAAAATGAGAAACCCCTGTACTAGATTTAATTAAAACTTATTTGCAGTGGTACAGCTGTGATGTTTACATTGCACATTTATTTCCATTTTTTAAATGATTATTAGATGTCTTCTAAATGTGAAATGCACTCTTGAAAGATGCTTCCTGGTTTACAGGATTTCACAGTATCAGCTGTAATATTACAGGTAAACGTCTTTAGAACCTGAATACGTTGAATTGTTATGGGCTACTATCTATTCTTTTTTTGGTTACATACATGAAAATCCTGTCTGTTAAAGCGGTATTGAACCCAAAAGCAAACATTTATGATATTGTAACTTACCAATTCTTAGATGTTGTGCCTGCATTAGTTTTCTTTTTTAGGCTTTTCTCTATTTTCATCTGGCGATCCAGTCAGTCTGTTGTTTTTCCACAGTTAAAGGTTTGACAAACGATTTACTACTGACAGCAGTGCTTACAATGTTCAGCTTTTATTTTTTAATGGGAAACCTTTATCCCAAAATGTGAAACAACTGTTGCTGTAACTGCTTATATAAGAGTTTGGTTTTAATCTGTTAGTGTATTTTAAGGCTCCATGCACACTAGTTTAAAAAGAAGCTCCTAGCAGCTACTTATGAGCATTTTTTTTTTCTGCCCCTAGAAGAAAATAGTGTTATCCTATGTGTCCATGCACAATATTGTAGTTTGGAAGTATTTTTGAAGCTCCAGCTTCTAGCAGAAGAAAAAAATTGCTATTTAGCATTTTTTGGAAGCAATTTGCTGGCAGAAAAAATGCTCAATGCTGCTAAGAGCCGGTTTCCTGCATTTTGGGTTTTTTTTTTTAGCAGCAGCCACTGGCGTCCTTAACAGTCAGTAACAGTCAGTGAGTAATAGCTGGTTGTTAAAGAGCAGACCTGACAATGCTGCTGTCCAGTGATGCCCCTGTGCTCCTTCATCCAGAATGTAGGCTCTCTAATACAGGATGTCTGTTACTGGCCAGATCACAAGGTGGAAAGAAAGGGGGGAAAAAAAAACTAAAAAAAGAAAACGAATGCAGCTACCATATCTAGTGATTGGTAAGCTGTAATATATTCAATTTTTGGTTTTGAGTTTTATGCAGACAATTGTACTTGAAGGTCCTTCTCATATTCATGTGTTCTGAATGTTTAATTTGCTGCATTTAAGTAGATGCACTAAGCGTTTTCAGCTGATTTATCTATCTAATGTAAACAAATATCTTGCCAAGCCTTTTCAAAATAATTAATATTACTGGACTGAGCAGGCCTAGATATTTAGCAGTCACTTACATGACAGGAATTTAAGTAATTTGACATAATTTAATTACATACAGTACATTCAATGCTGGCAGAGGCATATTTACTGTTACAAGGAACAGGATCAATTGCATTAACTCATCGCAATTAAAATCTATATGTTACTTCTCTAAGTTGAGTGACTGAAATCTGGTTGCTATTGCTTAGTGCACACTACACATCAGTGCTTCTTGCATAGTCTTCTTATCGTATACAGTATGCCCCATATGTATCAATTATGTAAGTTACATTTAGTGCTATTATTGATAGTGTAGTTTTATACAACATGAATACCTGTCTTTATCAGTTGTCCCGTGACATTCGAATACCTCTGGTTGTGGTTAGGTGCGTTGATGATTAAAATGTTAGCTAATATGTTAGTTATATGACCATTAATATGCCTGATCAATAATGGATGTTAAAAGATAACTTGGTGAAATACTTTTTTTATTGTTTTATACGTAAAACTAAAGGCAAAAGTTTTTTTTTTTCAATCTTGAATAGAGTAAGGGCGGGTTATAACTAACCCCTGTCAATTTTGTTTGCCATCTGTGTGTCCCACTGGGGAGATTTCCTTTTACTTCTTGTCTTATAGCCAGAACAGGAAAATAAAAGAAATTCTTTGTTGTAACCAAGGTCACAAGAACTAGTGTCTCCATTGGAAGATTCTTGTTCTGGTGACAACCCAAAATGTGTGATTTTCTGTTACGTTCACTTTTAATGATAATGGTAAACAAGACAAATAGGGTGAATCTCCATAACAGGGACACAGACCGCAATAAAAAACCATACAAATGTTCTAACATCTATCCACCCTATCTAAAACAAAAGAAAACTTTTTTCTTTAGTTCTAAGTGTGTAAATAGAAAGTTTGATAAAAAAATGTATGTTTAACTTCAGAATATATTTCTTACGTAAGTCAGTTAAACAATAACAAATATTCTTGCATTTCAATAGTAGCTTGCTTTGTTTTATATCAGTTAATGTTTTAATAAGCTTTTCATTAGAAAAGAATTACAGAAAGAAAACATTCATTTTGATACAGGTCTGCTGCATTTATTACTAGACCGATGCTTCTTCTTAATGAACCTTAAAGTGTATGTACACCCTAACATTGAACTTCTCTTATTTACTCTCATTTAATTTGTTAAATATACCTTTGAAAAGGTTTTATTTAATCTGTTCAGTAAGTGCTAAACATACCAATTCAATGAGCTCATAAGTTCCTATGCCCTTCGGTGTTTTATGAAATAGTGTTACTAGCTCTGCACAGGTTGCTTATGTGAACTACAGAACACCTCCCTTCTGTGGAGATGATTAGAGGGATAGGTGCTCTGTAATCCTAACACACATCCTGTCTTGGAATGCCAACCTGCTCCTCCCAAGATACGGTACAGTGAGTAAGCGTTGTCACCCTAGGACAGTAAGTGTGGTACAGGATCACCTGGTGAAAATAAGGGGAAAAAACATTGATAAAAGAAAACAAATGCAGCAACCACACCTAAATACCGCTGCTACAAGGTGCATTTTTTCCTGGGTTTAGATACACTTTAATTGCTACTGTTAATTCATGTGCATGCTTAAAAGGAAATGTCAGTGGTGCACCTCTATCACAAACTGCTCCGTTTCAATGCTGTATAAGAGGATCTGCAACAGGCAGGGGTTCTGTTCTGCTCTAGACGTATTACTCAGTGTGTGGCCTATTATTATTAGAAGTGTTTGTTAGGTTTCAGTTTGTGCATGATGTTTCCCTGTTTTTATGTGGTGTTTTATAGCATGTGGTAGACATTCGGTAAAACAAGTAGAGACATAGAGATTTGTTGTGTTGTTATACGAATAGAGTGCCACATAACTATCACTCTAGTTATCTAACAATTTGTATCCCATGTCTGTTCAGGTCTAAGGTTTTTTTTTGTCTGGATTTAATAATTGTTTGTTTTACTGTAAGTCAAAGTAATACATTTTTGTGCTTCTGGAGAATGGCAGGTGATGTTAAAGGCTGTTTCGTTGTTCTTTCTGGTCCTTTGCTCATGCTGCTCTGTGTTAAAAGCTTGCTGGTGGAGGGTATTTGGTAGCTGTAGATTTTTACTCATCACTTCTTTCTCACTTTTTAGATCGCAGTCAGGACAGCATTGCAGTTGTGCTGTCGGACTCTAGCTCCACACAGGACACATTCACAGAACCTGCCAGCTCCCAGGACAGCACCAAGAGGTTGTTCTTGGAGAAAAGATCCAACTATTCTCATTCTACAATACAGTATAAAGATGTCCAGACACATATGGATGAAAGAGGTAAGCTATCTATAATAATCAAAACTGTTCACTTCTGTAACAACTAAAAGTAAACTTTCCAGGTGCCGACCCTTCTGTGTGACAGTCAGTCAGTTTATAATCCCACTTACAGTGATACGTGAAGTAAATTTCATCTATTGAAACCTAATAAAATACATGTGCTCCAACCAACAACCATATGTTATGATTGTACTATAAGGTTTCATCAGCATTTTACACTATGGGGTTTATTTGCTGAAACAGGAACATGCAAAATCTGGTGCAGCTTTTCATAGAAACCAATCAGCCTCCAGGTTTTATTGTCAAAGCTTAATTGAACAAGCTGAATTTAGAAACTGATTGGCTACCATGTACAGCCGCACCAGATTCTGAGTGCACCAGTTTCAGTAAATCTACCCCTACTGTATATTCTAAATCCGTAACCAACCAGCCAGGTAACCTCCCTGTTACAAGGCCCGTTACAGAAGTGATCAGAACATAGCTGTTCCATTATAATGTCCATGTTCCCCTCTTCTGACCTAATCCAGTAGCATACTAGGATGGCAGACCCAGATGGTCATTAAAATAGTTTTGGCAACTTGCCACCTTTTCTGGAAACAATTACTAGTTAGGCCTGTAAATATTAGGTAGAAACCCTACTGAGATAATACAGTCTTTTCTTTATAAACAAAAGTTTAATGTCAACTTTCTTGTCTAGCAACCGGACTAATCCCACTACCTGGTGCCTTGATCTCTACTGACAACTTTACAAAGTTCAGACACCAAAGATGTAGTGTTACCATGTTGGCCTATAAGTTCTTGTGACCTAGTACCTTACTCTGTTCTCTTCTCCTCAATTTACGTAGTATAATATGTTATGTTACACCTACATTTTCCAGCACTGAAGAATGGCAAGGTCTCCAACAGATAGAGATCATACTTAAAATGTTTACAGGCTGATGGAAATTCTCCATTGTGACCCTGGACCCACCAATTTTTGTTGAGTAAAATGTACTGTACCGATCTTGCTATGTGCCGTGAGCACCTCCTGGTGGCAGTTTGGTAATGCAGCTCTTTTAACAGTGCTCCATCCTATATTTTATATATTGCAGATGCAAGATTGTAATGGAGGTACGGTGCAATCTGTTCGGTGGTTTGAATGGATACCTGGCTTTTTTGAATGGTAGCCATACTTGCAGATCAGTCACCTGCATCATTCCTTTTGTACTTCTTTTGAGCAAACAATCTTAGCCCACCACATCCCATCTCTGGATAATGTCTCCTTTTTTTTTTATTCCTATGAGGCTACAGTTATTAGCTAATACTGAATACAAAGTCAGAGTCACTTTTCAGATTGCACAGCCACCTGTAAAGGGTACAGTAATAGGATTTTTCTTTTGCTTCTCTGTTATCTTTTCTTTTTTACTTATTTTCCCTTTTAACCCCTCATGCTTTTATACAGAAACTTAGTAGCATGAGCTTTGTTTTGTCCCTGTACAAAGGGGTCAGTGACAAAAAGTTTGCTTTCTATTTCCATTACATCAAGTATGAATTATTCTCCTTGCAGAGAAGGGGTTTAACTCTTCATTGTAAATTACTAAAAATTCCTATGCAATTACAGTAGCCTTGTAACCTTATACTTTTATAAAAAGCAGGCTGTTTGTGTGTTTAAAACCCTTGAAGAAAAACTATGACTTCATGCATTATTTGATGCTCCAGTCCCTTGGGGTACAAAGTACATATACTGTAGCAATTTGTCCCATCTTTCTACGAACTGTAGAAGCTGAGATCCAATATGTGACAGTGCAATCTTCGCACATCAGTTTCTTATCAAAAAAGTTTAAAACGGAACAATACAGGCACACTCACAGCGACACTGTTTCTGTGCTGCTCACACATCCCGTGTTTGTTTACAAGTTCACAAAGTGGCAGTGGTGTCAGAACAAGGCTTTCATGGATGGTTTTTAACTTGCTATTTGTTATTAAAGCCCTGTGCCACAGTCTATGTACAGTTGGAAGTGGACTGCCACTCCCAGCTACTAAACAGATAGGAAATTTGTGAGCAGGACAGGAACAGCACTGCTGAGAGTGTACCTGTGTTGTTCAGCATCAAATTGACACACCCCCTCCCTTGTATTCAGAGTGATTTCTGTCGGGAAAGCTCAACACAAGTGCAGTCAATCTGATAATAATTTCCTTGAAGCGCTGTGGTCAGAAATCAGTGGGTGGAGCTTGGGGTGTGCTGTCACATACTGGATCTCTGCCTTTACAGCTCCTTAACCCCTTGACGCCGACGTAGCACAAATATGCGGCCTCACGAAACTAGGCTTTTTTCTGTGGGGCTGCATATTTGCGTACCTGTCTTTGTGCTGGGAGTGTGCCGCACAGCGTGCTCCCAGCAAAAAGACAGCAGTGTTACTGAGAACCCCGGGTCCCATTCTAACGATCGGGACCCGGGACTCCCAATTCCGAGTCACATAATCGCTGTGATAGCCTCTGATTGGCTATCACAGTGATCAGTCACTGTAGAGCCTGCCCCCTTGTTTTTTTCTCTCTCTATCAATGGAGGAGAGAGATACATTGTATCTCTAAATCCTGGCATAGAGGGGAAAAAAATGTTTGTAAAAAAAAAAATAAATAATAAAAATAATAATAAATAAATAATTTAAAAAATAAAGAAAAAAATACCTAGATCAAAGTATTGTTTTTTTCTCTCTCTATGAATGGAGGAGAGAGAGATACATTGTATCTCTCTAAATCCTGGCATAGAGAGAAAAAAATGTTTGTAAAACAAATAATAATAAATAATTAAAAAAATAAAGAAAAAATACCTAGATCAAGGTTTGATCTAGTTCAGTGCCAGGGTTAGTATTTGGGTCAGGGTCAAAGGTCAAGGTCAAAAGGTCAGGATTTAAAAATAAAATTGGTGTCAATGTCAGTGTGTTTTAGTTAAAAAAAAAAAAAAAAAAAAAAAGACAAAAACAAAATGTGCGCTATTGTTTCTGGGCTGTACTACGGGTACAAACAACAAATAACATACATATATATGGTATCGCTGCAATCTTCAAGAGCTGGAAAATTTATTTTGGGTTGTTTTTTTGGTGGTAGGTTATGGTAGTAGCAAGAAACACACAGCTAAATAGAAAAAAAATGATTTTTTTTTACTAGTTTGGGCCAGTTTTCGTTTGATAAAAAAAAAATCAGGAGATATCCATTACTATTTACCACCAAATGAAAGCCCAATTTGTCCTGAAAAAAATGCGGTATAATTCACCTGTATGTACAAAGTAGTTGTGATGATATGTACGGTTTTACTAACACATGTCAAAGTTGCAAAATTGTGTTTAGGCATTTAGATTTGTTTTACCCTTAGGGGTGAAGGGGTTAAAGAATGGAAAAAAGTGATATGTAGATTTGTACGTCAAATAATATGAAGTAATAAGTGCTATTTCTGCATTAATACCTGATACATCTTTAGATCACTTTTTCTTTAGGTACACCTGTTTGGTACTCATATATATTTGCCAATTGTCAGCAGTATGCTGCTGCACTTAGTTGTTAATAAGGGACATACGCATTGCATGTAGTTGCAGCAAAATGGTGTTGCAATTAGGGAGTTAATACAGGTGGTGAGGTGGAGTCCCAATGATGCTGTGTTTCTCAGCAAAAAAATAAGCCTTTGTTCACACGAACGTACTTAGGTGTACACCCATGTGAGGTCTGTGTTTTGCCTGCACGGGATTGACATGTGTTCAGTGCATCTGTGTGCAGGCAGTCCCATTCACGTTACTCGAAGTTTGACATTCTTGTGAGTCCCTGAACACAGACAATGTGCTTTCAGAGACCCGTGCCCACACAGATGTCAAATTGGGAGCAGTGGCAACGTCCTTGCAGCCATTACGGCCCAAATGACATGTATGAGACTGTCTGAGCGTAGATACATGGAACATACAGGCAAAACATGCCCCTCACATGGGTGTATGCTTAAGAATGCCTGTGTGAACAAAGCCTAAAGCCTCTTGCACATGGATGCAACAATTTACTGATGTTTGTATGCAAGATCTTGCTAGCAGAGGTTGGCACAAAGATCCTGGGTAATATTCTGTTAAGACCTTGTATATACACTCATACAGGGGTGAAAATGTGTTTTCAAGCGCAGATGTTTCATCTTTTAGCTGCCATTGTTTCAACTTAAACGTATATGCTTGTTTGTACTTGCGTATCTATGCCTATACTGGTAAATGCTTTAAGTATTCTTATTTTTTTATATTATAGCTCTGAACACATTGCTGCATTACAAATATTTACACAGCTGTGTGCATTGTCCCTGAGACCTCAGTGCACCTGTGTTCAGATCCATAAAAAAAGCAAAAACAAAAAAAAACGATAAGTGCCTACAAACACTACAAAGTTTTTGCGCCCAGTGCGATTTTCTGTGATAATGGTTTTGATTAAACTCACAGATTCATGCATTACTTTTGTTTGTCCCTATTGTTCTTAGTCCTTTTTTGCTTTGCTTTGAATTCTGCCCTGGCAATATTTCTTCTGTCTGTGGGTTTTTGGCTCTTGTACAAACTGATCACACTCTTCATGATAGGGCGATTTATCCCCTGGGGTGGATTCAGCTTTCATAGTGTTAATGTTCTTGGAGGCAGGGCATTTATTCCATGGTGCAGTGCCCTCAAAATAACTAAAAACAAATAATTTTATTTGGAAAGTACAAAAAAAAAAAAAAAAAATAAATACATTTTTTGTAGAATGCACCTTTAGAAACTACTCTGTGATTCATATATTTACCTTTTTTCCAACTTTACAAAGTTACTCCAACGTTTCCAATAATGGATATATTTGCAGTACACAGCTTGAGGGGCCTGTTTTACAAAATACAATGGAAGGACTACGACTATGTCGTACATATGTGACTGTCATAAGCTGAAGTTTTTTAAAAGCTAAAAGTGCTACACTCAGTCATTAAAAAGTTAAGGAACTACGTTCAATCCCTTCCTAGAGTTTGCAGGTCAGATACTGCACAGCTCACTGAATGAAACATACAGTGGATATAAAAAGTCTACACACCCCTGTAAGAATGCCAGGTTTTTGTGATGTAAAAAAATCAGACCTTTGATGTGACCTAAAATCTGTGCAATTCAATTAAAAACAAACTGAAATGTTTAAAGGGGGAAAAAAATAAAAACAACTTAAATAATGAAGTTGCATAAATATGCACACCGTTAAACTAATTCTTTGTTGAAGCACATTGTATGTCAGCATTCAGTCTTTTGGGGTAGGAGTCTATCCGCGTGACACATCTTGCCTTTTGAATCTTTGCCCACTTTTCCTTGCAAAAGCACTCCAAATCTGTCAGATTGCAAGGGCGTCTCCTGTGCAAAGCCCTCTTCAGGTCATTCCACATTTTCATTTGGATTCAGGTCTGGGCTCTGGATGAGCTATTCCAAAACTTTGATCTTCTCCTGGTGAAACCATTCTTTTGATGATTTTTTTGTAGGTATGTTTTGGGTCATTGTCCTGCTGAAAGGTGAAATTCATCTTCAGCTTTTTAGCAGAGGCCTGAAAGTTTTGTGCCGAAAATTGACTGATATTTGGAACTAATCCCTCCTCCATTGATTAAAGACCCGGTTCCAGCTGAATAAAAACATCCCCAAAGCATAATCCTGCCACCACAATACTCCACCATGGGTATGGTGTTTTTTTTGGTTTGGTTTTGCGTCAAACATACTTTTTTGGATAAAAAGTGGAGATCAGTGAGAGCTCAAATTAAGCTGCTGTTTCACTATAAGGTAACCAGATAAAACCTGAATAAACATAAAATCAAAGTGCAGCGCTAAAATTAAATTATGTCCATTAAAATAGATGTGCATAAATATAACAAAGATAAAATGTTCATAAAGTGACAGTCCGTGCTAAGGTGTCAATCACAGCTGTAAGTAGCTTCAATACTCAGTGATGTGCTCAAAGGTGTGGTAAGAATACGCACTCGCCAGATGCGTATTGTAAATACTCATGTAATATATATAATCAGAGGTCCCCTTTATGGATAGACGATGTAAGCCGGGTACGGAATATCCTCCCTCTGCATGGTATACAGCTCAATGGGTAATTCCTCGGTGATAAAGGAACTGATCCTGCCAGAGCTCCCCTTTAAGGTTGGATGAGTGTTTGGAGCCTGGGATGGAAACTCCCTCCTCTGGATCCTATGGTGAACTGCAGCTATCTTCCAGGATAGGGCTCTGTAAATCAATTAGCTCAGCTCCGCTCGCCATTCATTGACATGTGGGCGAAAGAGCGGCTGCAATGGTTTTACAACTCCTGCCATTATAAACAACTGTGCAGATTCTCCAGTTAATGCAGGTCTGCCAGTGGATTATCACCACTGAATCTATGTAATTTATGTATCTGTAATAAAAGGACTGAGTTATAGTCAATGATTGCTCTATGGATGCAGATGCATTTTAGGGTGATAGAATCTGTTGACAGGTTGCAAAGAACTTTCAGACGTAGCATGAATAGGCTAAATTGTACTGTATATAGGATATGTTATAGTCATATCTCTCTTGCTTAGTAGCTTTCATGTATTCATGTATCTTTAACCGATTGGATATAGGGATGATTGACATTTTTTCTCCTACACTTCATATTTACAGGGAAAACTGATGAACAGATGGAACAGGTAGACACAACCAGCTCAGCAGAACAGAGAGCCGGCCCCGAAGTGCAGACATCCCCCACCTGCATTACTCATGCAAGGGTTTTGGTTGCACCATTGTCTGACCCTAGGAAGAAGCCGGAAGCTATTGAAGTATCAGAATATCCCCAGACCCTACCTGAAGATTCTGATGGGCAACGCACAGTCTTAATTGAGCAATGCATCACTTCCTTTAAACTTTGTCTAAGCCGCTTTCCCCAACACTACAAGAGTCTGTACAGGCTGGCTTATCTGTATACTCACAGCAACACGCACCAGGTAAGATAGACTAATGTTCATTTAGATTTCCCTAGCAAATGTGTGCTTACTCATGAACGGTATGATTTGGGAGTTGGAATCACCTTAATTTTGAAGTTTAGCCTTAAAAAGAAAAAAAAAATCTACAGCCCTAAGCCTGGTACACACGTACCGAAGTTCGGACGGTTTAGCAGAAACAGTTGAATGGGCATGCTGGAAAATTAGCATTCTATCAACACTCACAGTGTTTCAAGCGCTGATCTGTGTATTCTGCATCAAAACATTGCTTGTATTGAGTAGGCATTCAACCTGCAGGTATGAATAAAAAAACAATGCACCAGAAATGATTATTACAATTTAACACACATAAATACCTCATGATATGGTCTTTTCATACAGCATAATTTTCAAATGAAGAATACATCATAAGACTCAACATGTTTCGAGAGTGATGGTTCACTTCATCAGGAGTTTTAATGTTGCTGAAAGGGAGTCTATGAAGTAAATACCCAAATCAAAAAAATTTAAAAAAAGCTACCACATAAGGGAGATTCTTACCACTAGAGACAGAGGACAATATCAATACTTACATCCCAAATGAATTACGCAAAATACATCAAGGAAGCTTGTTTTCCTGGGAAGTCTATCCCGGGTGTTATGGAGACTTGGGGTAGGAAGTCCAATGGTAAACAGAATGTAATGGCAAGTGACCATGTATTAGGGTAATGACCTAAGGAACAAACTTTCTAGGCCCTGAAGACCAATACCCAACATATATGAAAAAAGTGTAATATATATTGTGACATTATGAAAGGAGAGGTGATTGATGGACGCTATGTGTCACCTCGCATGCATTCATATCTGGGAGACTAAGTTGGAGTCCAGTCTGGGTGTTCCAGGCCACTTTGGCAGAGTTGATTTTGGACCGGATTTTGCAGTCCACTGATGACCACCAGCAGATGGTATAAATAAAGCAGGACTGGAGCAAGAAGTTGCTCTCGGCCTGGGACCAGGAAAGCCATACCTGAGAGAGCTGTGGATGAAAGAGTTTGCTTTGTACAAGAAAGCACACCATTTTGTTTTGTTGGTGACAGAGAAGCCCTTCACCTGTGATCTCCTCTGTTTAGTTAGTGCCTGGATGGCGAGGGTTTTTTTCTGTTCTGTTTTGTGTATGATGCATGCAACCTTTTAAATTAAACTGGCTACAAGTCAAGTTTTAAATTAAGTTTTAATTTAAACTGGCTACAAGTTTACAAGATCGACCTGCTGTCTGGACTACCTTTTTCCCAGGGAAGGTGATCCCCCACCTGAGCTAACTCTCTATACAGTGGGGATCGAAGTTTGGGCACCCCAGCTAAAAATTTGTATTAATGTGCATAAAGAAGCCAAGGAAAGATGGAAAAATTTGCCAAAAGGCATCAAATGTTTAGACATTCTTGTAATATGTCAACAAAAGTTAGATTTTATTTCCATCATTTACACTTTCAAAATAACAGAAAACAAAAAAACAGGCGTCTGCAAAGTTTGGGCACCCTACAGAGTTAATATCTTGTACTGCCCTCTTTGGCAAGATAAGCTTGTAAACATCACACCATCTTTGCCCATTCTTTTACAAAAGTCTTCCAGTTTTTCTGGGCTGTTTGTCACGGACTGCTCTTTTAAGGTCTATCCATAGGTGAGCAGGGTGAAGGCCATTCAGTTTTTCACCCTCTCGATGTAATCTGATTTTGAGGTGTAGATCATTATCCATTTGTAGAAGCCATCCCTCTCTTTTAACTTTAGCTTTTTCACAGATGGCATCAAGGCTGAAATTTTATTTTAATCCATTTTTCCTTTCGTGAGATGTTCCCTGTGCCACTGGCTACAAGTCAAACCCCAAAAGTTTAACAGTAAACAGAAGTTTTAATCAAACTGGCTACAAGTTTTTAAATTTTAAGATCGAACTGCTGCATCAGGCTTGTCTATATTTTCATCCCAGGGAAGTAGAAGAGGTTTTCTTCTGAGCTAACTCTTCCATGAAGACCATATTTGTACAAGTATCTCTTTATAGTGGAATAGTGTACCACAACTCCAGTGTCTGCCAGATCTTTCTGGAGGGAACGTACAGTCAAAACGTGGGTTTTTGAATTGTTTTTTTTCTCACAATCCTGCAAGCTGTCTGTCTGATATTTTTCTTGGTCTTCCAGATGTTGCTTTAACTTCCACTGTTCCTGATGACTGCCATATCTTAATTACATTACGAACAGAGGATATTTGGGCACCCCAGCTAAAAATTTGTCATTAATGTGCATTCTTAAAGAAGCCAAGGAAAGATGAGTCTGAAAAATCTCCAAAATTGACATCAAATTACAGATTAGACATTCTTATAATAGCTGTCAATGCAAAAGTTAGGGTGCCCAAACTTTTATTTTTTGTTTCATTTTATTTTGAAAGTGTTGATGGAAATAAAATCAAAATTTGTTGACATATTATAAGAAAAACTAAAAAATAATTTGATGCCTTTTTTGGGCACCATCTTTTTCAGATGCACATTAATACAAATTTTTAGCTGGGGTGCCCAAACTTTCGATCCCCACTGTAATATATATCTTATATAAATAAATATACACACACATGCACACACACATACACACTATATTGCCAACATTATTGGGACACCTCTCCAGATCATTGGATTCAGGTGTTCCAATCACCTCCATTGCCACAGGTGTATAAAATCAAGCACCTAGGCATGCAGACTGCTTCTGCAGACATTTCTGAAAGAAAAGGCCGCTCTCAGGAGCTCAGTGAATTCAATCGTGGTACTTTGATTGGTTGCCACCTGTGCAATAAGTCAATCTGTGACATTTCCTTACTACTAAATATTCCATGGTCAGCTGTTAGTGGTATTATAACAAAGTGGAAGCAACTGGGAATAACAGCAACTTAACCACAAAGTGGTAGGCCACAGAAAATGACAGATCAGGGTCAGTGCATGCTGAAGCGCACAGTGCGCAAAAGTCTGAGTCAGAGAGCTTCATGGAATGGGTTTCCATGGCCGAGCAGCTGCATCCAAGCCTTACATCACCAAGTGCAATGCAAAGTGTCAGATGCAGAGGTGTAAAGCACGCCGCCACTGGACTATAGCACAGTGGAGCATGTTCTCTGGAGTGACGAATCACGCTTCTCTGTCTGGCAATCCAACTGACATTTCTGGGTCTGGCAGTTGCCAGGAGACCGTTACTTGCCTGACTGCGTTGTGGCAAGTGTAAAGTTGGGCTTGGGCAGCGTGGCTCCATTAACACATACAGCTTAGAAGCGAGCTTGCACTGTGTGCCCCATAGCAATAATGTTTTTTTATTTGTCTTTTCGGACGAAAACTGTACTGGTTAAATGGAAATCGTATGACCTGTAGTGATGGGCTTGATGTTCAAGTCCAACATAAGCTTTTGGGGCCCCCTGTAGCTTGAGTGGAGTCACTATTGTGATTTCTGTGACCCCTCAAGATCCGCTCTGGTGGACAGTTTTTTTATTTTTATTATTTTATTATTTTTGAAAAAAATTTTTTTAAGATTTTTTACAATTTTGTTGGGGGGCTTTGGTGAAATATCAGGGGTCTAAACTTTTGAGACAGAAAAAGGAATTGAGGACATATATTCTTCAATTCCTTTGCAGCCTCAGCTGCATTGCAGATGAATAAACAGGGAGCTGTATGTGGAGGCTCCTGTTCATTCACAAACTGGAACATAGTAAACACAGAACTGATACCTTGAATGGCTCTCTTTGCAGGGCTAAGAGCCGCAGGAGGGAGAAGAGGAGAAGCGGCTTTCAGCTGCTGCATGGAGATTCAGGGCATCAGTTCTTGTAATTGCCCCCCTGCCACATCGTTCACCCCCTTCTGTCCATGGATTCCACCTGCTGCCGATGGATGCAGGGCCCCCTAGAGCATGGGCCAGGTTGCAGATGCGACCCCTGACGCTATGCCAATGTGTCCCACAGAACATTATCACCAGGACAGAAAGTAAAGAGAAATCCAAAATGTTACAGGCTTACTATGGGGACATATGGAGAGAGGAGAAGACCAGATTGCCGGCAGGGGACCCCAGAAGAGGAGGTTCGGGGCTGCTTTGTGCAAAACCATTGCACAGAGCAGGTGAGTATAACATGTTTTTTTTAATGAAGAAATATTTGCCTTTAGTAACACTTGAAATGTTTAATTCTCATACAATGTGTACATGCCCTTTAGAGGGATCATGCAAGAGCTAGTGGTGAAGGTGGTGGCAGTGGTGGGTGTTATAGAAGTTGTTGGTGAGGTAAGCAATGAGAGCTGATTTTAAAGGGGCGAGATGGACAGGACCTGATGGTACAGGGGGCCAATAGAAGGGAAGATTGGAGGCTGGAGGTGGAAGAAGGCAAGGCTTAGGGTGGAGGGAGGAGGTAAATAATGTTTTGGGTTTTTATCTTGGGGAATGCAGCATAGCTTTGCTATGCACAACAAAAATGGGGTAAAAGGGTGAATAGTGGAGAAGAACAGTGTGCTTGTGTTGATATAGGAGAGAGCTGGTACTTTAGAGAAAATAAGCAGGACTTTAAAAAATGTAGAGAAGAGAAGCTTTTGTGATGGAGATATAATGGCATATTTATCAAGCTCAAGCTTTCACTAGACTTTGATCATGTTTTGGAAAATTGGGCAAAGCAAAAGGAGAAATACAGTGACGAAAATAATTATTTGATCCCCTGCAGATATTGGTGAGTATTGCGCCTTTTAGGATTTTTGGGATCCTAAACCCCCTCTATGTTCTCCAGAGCTCCTTATCCACTTTGAATGGCTTGATGCTCTCCTTCTACTCACTCCTAATTAGAGCTCCCCAGCAGTGCAAAAGAAAAAAATAATACCATAGTGTGATATTGCTAATACCATATACAGTATTAAAATAATACTAGGCCACTCACATGTGCTAGAATAATTAAAAGCATTGATTTATTGCCTTCATCGGCTCACGCAGATCCACATAACCATAGTTCAATCCAGAGACCTCAGAGCCTTTTGG